CCTCCACAATAAACAATCACACACAAAGACAAGGGGGCAGAGGGAACACTTATACAGGCACTGATGAGGGGATATGAACCAGGTGTGTGTAATAGACAAGACAAAACAAATGGAATGATGAGATGAGGAGCGGCAGTGGCTAGAAGGCCGGTGACGACGAACTTCTGAAGCCTGCCCAAACAAGGAGAGGAGGCAGCTTCGGAGGAAGTCGTGACAAAGCTAAAATGTAATGAGTGTACGGATGAGAAAATAGAACTATTAATTGTCTGCACATGCTTGTGAATTGTTGCGTTATTCAAGAGTGTAATATGTTAGATCCATGAAGAGTTGCTTGCTTAACGTTAGCTAGTAGCTAGCTAGTTGAATAGTTTGCAATGCCTCCTGGCTGGTGAGTACTGTAACATTTACAGTACTTTTCAGCTGCAAAGCAAGAACGTCAACCGAACCCTCTCTCGGCTCATGACATTCCCGTAGGCTAATGTGAATTGAAAAGTGTATGCACATATTGTGTAAATTGAAATTTCATCCCGATAGCTCTATTCAGTGAGAATAAGCCCTAGGGGTTTCTGGGTAGAAAATCATTGAAGGTCATCAAGTATGCTTTCCTGAAGTGATCAAGGCCAGCATTCAATCCAATCAGCGATAGATCCGCATTATAGGTTTTGACATTTAAGGGAAATGTTCCATTGAGCCGACATATGCAGCTTTTACCGTGAATCCTTTCTCCATGAACACAGAAAAATTGTCTTTAAAAGGTGTATAGCTGACAAAGCGCGATGGGATTGAATCCCGGCCATATTGATCTCATACTGTGGTTATTACTAAATTCTCAATATTTATTGAGAAAACAATTTAAAATATATATTATTATTATATTCTGTTTATTTGACTCTTAACTACCTAGCTGTACATGCAAATAGTTTAGTAACAGTTGTATTTCACATACATACATTATCAGTGAATTCACTTCACTTTGTTGCCCTGTTCACAATCAATTGCACAGTAAAGCACTGCTCAATAATGGTCAAATAACCCGATTCAACAAGTGCCTCTACAGTAACGGCAATGTTACAGCAATGCAACAGCAACGTTACGCAATCTCCAATTAACCAGAACTAAACTAAACACAGTGTTCCGGGTCCACTTGGGCCTTTGATGCTCTACGCTAAACCATTACCCTAATTATAGAATGTTCTAGAATGCTCTAGAATGCTTTAGAATGTCTGTCCACAGAGGAACTGAAGGTTAAAAGGGGTGACAGAGGGCCCAGGGAAGTACAGGGGGCCGGGCCCACCCGCGTGAAGTACACCGTTCTGTGCCAGTGAACCGTGGATGTGGTGGCAGAATGTTATTTGCCGAATGTTAAGTGAGCATGTAATAGAGTTGTAAGCGAGGGCCCTGAGCGGTACAGGAAATGCACCCTGTTTGTTGGCCAAAGTAGTTTCCCTCATTTCATCCCTCTGGTCCAGTTGTCTCTGAATAGGTGACACGCAGCAGTGTGGAACTGGTGCTCACCTAGCCTTGAACCCAGATCTTGCCGTTGGTGTGACAACGACCTTAGGAGTTGGCAAGAAAGCACGAACAGATCTGAGACCAGGCTAGAGCTAAGCTATATGCTATTGATTCTCTGTCCTGATCCCTCTGTATATGTGTTAGAGGAAAGTGAACTGTAGGGCATGGCCTGCTTTGCTTTGGTTGTGTGCACTTTATTTGCGTGTTGAGTCTGACATGCTGTTTTGTACACTGAAGGTGTGAGTTCCAGCAACGGGCTAGAGACTATACTGCAGGTGAACTGTGCTGGCATTAAGGGGGCAAAGGTATTCAGCACAAACGTGCATTCTGGAAAGGGCACCAGCATTGCGGAATATCACTGCACACAAGCGAAACGGTGTTTGTGTATATGTGTGTGTGTGCATGCGTGAATGTCTCCATCGCTAGACCGGTGGCCTAAAGCAACTGCAGTTCTGCGACTACAGCAGAGGT